TGCCCGTCGAAATTTACAACGTTGCACGGTTCGTTACCAATCGTTTCCCGCGCATCGTGGAAAATTTCATGCGGGGTGAAACCTGCCGGAGCATCGCGGATGGAAGCTGCATTAACGCGGGAAACGGTGCGGCGCGCATTTCCTGCACGCATCGATGCGTGTGAAAAATATTATCCCGGCACGATGTCCATGCTGGCAGCCATCGCGGTACGCCCCACGTCACGTTTCACCCTCTTCCTCGATTACGGTATTATCCACCTTCAGTGCTGTCAGTTCACGCGGACGTCCGCAGGCGGACAGGCTCGCCCTACAGGCGGAGCTGTCTTCGCCAGCTTTTTCTCTTTTTACTGACGCATCGAGGCCGATCGATTCTCTCAGGTTTTGTTCAGCCCCGGCTGCGATTCAGTTTGATCGGGCGAACTCGGGGACGGCGTCTTTTAAACTCCCCTTGGCGCTGGCAACTGGCTTCGCGGCGCGGACCATAACGAGTGACCGAACCAGCGCACAATAAACTCGTCGCTCTCTTTTCCTTTCGAACTCGCCGGTACGATGACTGTAGCGACTGTTGCCTCTTCAAAATTAACGTCAACACCGTTATCTGCACAATCGTTGCGTCGAAAAGTACGTTTCCTGTAAATCGGCATCTAACATTAGAATATTTGTAAATTGATATTTTATTTTTACTATTACTATGGAGATGTTATTACCATGTTTACTTATACACACACACACATATATATATATATATATAGACCCCATTTTATAATTAGTTCATTCCATAATCAACATTCACAGAAACAGTTATTTCTTTGTGTTATAAAAATATCATTTATTATAATTTATAAAAAGTTATTAAAGTTACAAAGTTGTTCTTATTTCTATTTGTAGTATATTAATTTAAATTATCATCATAATCACTAAACCACTGGATAGAAATTATTAAGAAGTGACAAACGTGTCATTTGTTTTGCCTGGGTTACGTTTAAATATACTGTAGAGATATACTATAATAATAATATAATAATAATAATAATATAAATAATGTTTATTTAATAAGAGTAATGATAATATAACAACAAATAATTAAACAAAACAAATAACATTCAATCAATACGAATTAACAACTCAAATAAACTCTTTTTTAACAACAATCGACACTTTTAACAGTTCCTTCTGAATGCTCTCTCACGACTCTGCTCTTTTCAAAAAAAAAAAAAAAAAAAAAAAGAAAATCGCTCCTGCCTATGCTCATTGTGCTTCTCGCGTCACATTCATGTTATATCGTATTTCTATTGTAGTGATTATGATGATTTAAATTTATATCACAATACTACAAATAAATTATAACTCCGTAATTAATTTTAGTTGTTTATATAAAAATATTATCAAATTATTACTATCACAAAATATACTAATAATTTAATGAAGATTACATAATAGAATTTAAATGATGAATAATTTCTATAAATGAAAGTTAAATAACGAAATAACGAATGAAGAATTTCTACTGAAGAATGGCTACAATATATATAAGTGTCAGTAAACATTTCCATGGTGATAATAAAATTAATAGCTATTTTTAAATATTCTATTGT